TAATATTCATGGGAGAAATGTTTTTTCAGATTTTTTTTTATGATGGAACCATGGCTTTGTAGCTATGATAACTTTAAATTTTCTAAATTTTTCCGCATGTCAAAGAAAACATTTATTGATTCAGCAGAAATGATGCAAAAAGAAATTAGCAAAACCGTATACAGGTGGATATCATCTAGTGAGTTTATATGGCCATATTTTAATATTCTTGTGGTATATGGCTACACAGGATACTTTGTTAAGCATAGGAACTACATTTAAAGTGTCCCCAACAACCGTAATGAGTATAACTAATAAGGTGCTCCACTTTATGGTAAAACTGAAGTCAGCCAGTATCAATTTTCTCAAAAATGAAGCTGAAGTACAATAACAATATCCAATACCCGGCAAAATTCTAACTTGTCACATTTCAAATAATAACCAGAAATATAAAACTACTCTTGAGTTGGGTAAATACTACAATTTTGCGGTGATAACTATGACATATAACAGCTGATTCGTGACGTCACGGATCTTATAACCAAACTGATAACTACACTCGCTTGAACGGATCGGGAAATACCAACCCAAAATGGTAAATACCATTTCCATTTGGTTATACGCTTGAATTTGATTAATTATCCCAACAAGAATGCCTTGCTGAGTTACTCTCTGTTTTCGGCAACGAAGCGCCACATCAGTCGACAATTTCCGTTGGTATGGAGAACTCAAATGTGGACGGGTGAGTCTTAGCGACGATCCCAGGGTGGGTGTACCAAAAACGGCAGTCACCCAGGAAAACGTCGATGCTGTGCGCAAACTCATCATTGAAGATAGACATGTGGCATATCGCGAGATTGAGGCGTCCTTGAAGATCTCAAAGACCTCAATTCAAAAAATTTTACATGAGAATTAGGAGTAAGAAAATTAGTTTCTCGTTGGATACCCCACCTGTTGACTGAAGATCAGAATGCAGCCAGTCTTAATTGGTGTCAAAAAACCCTTGACTGTTTCAATTCCGGAAACTCAAAAAATGTGTGGAAGCATTGTTAGTGGTGATGCATCGTGGATTTACTGTTATGAACCAGAAAATAAACAACAGTCGGCTGTTTGGGTGTTCCAAGGTGAAGAAAAGCCAACAAAAGCCATCCGTTCTCGAAGTAGGTTTCGAAAAAGACGGGCACGACATTTGTGTCAAAAGCGGGTCGTATTGCAACAGTTCCTCTTAATGTGCAAAGAACTGTTACTGCGGATTGGTATACCACCATTTGTTTGCCAAAAGTCGTCACCCTGCTTCGAAAAATCAACCCCGAAAGAAGAATCATCCTCCACCATGACAATGCAGGCTCGCACACAGCCCAAAAAACAAAGCAGTATTTAACGGAAGAAAACTTTCCCGAAAATTAAAAACAGACTGCGTGGTCAAAGGTTCCAGTCACCAGAAGAAGCAGTTGACGCATTCAAAAATGCCGTTTTGGATCTGCCAGCAAACGAGTGGAATAAGTGCTTCGAAAATTGGTTCGAGCGCATGCAGATGTGTATTGATCTTCGTGGAGAATACTTCGAAAAACAGTAAAGTCATTTAAAACTACCTACCGTGTTGTTTTATTTCCATATGCAAAACTTAAAAGACATCCCTCGTAACCTACGGCATCATCACCGTAGGATTCCCTTGCAGATGTGTAAGAAGAAATATAATATTAGGTAAAATTATTTTGAGGTTATGCCGCATAAACTTAGTTACAAATGATTTCTGAAAAGGAAGATTATGTAAGTTACTTATTCATTTAATGTGTATCATTATATATCTGTTATGCCTATTATTATATCAAATGCACTATACTTAAATAGAAGTCTTGATGTTCCGCAGCTCACTAAAGCAGAAATCTCGGGCAAAAAAATGACCAGCCATCAGTGTATCAATTTTCGTGAAATTTGTGCTTTCTGCGTTCACGAAGCCAATGTCCATGAGTGTTTTTTTTTTCAATAAAAAATAAAACCAAATCCTTTTACGTTGATTAGGAGTTTTTTAGAAATATTCAAAGAAGACACCCGTTAGTCCACGTGTAACATACGGATGATGTTTCTTTGTTCACAATTTGTATGACGTCACATGGTCGATATTGTTTTAACTGTTTTGTATTAAAAATATATAGTATATTTTTTAAATTAGACATATATATCCATATTGCACTTTTAATAATTGAAATCGATATATTCCGTTTTCCTAAGGCAAACAATGTAAGAAATACTCATTATTCTATGAAATTAGATATGTGTCAAGTAGCCTATTAAAATAGGCATTAGGGCAGTATCGTCAGTCGTTCCTACAATTGTAGCACGCCTTTAGGGCCTCCTTGATTTCCATAGTTTTTCCTCTCCTTCAGAAAAGCTGGGTTATTTCCGTGTCAGCATCAGCGCTCTCCTGTTGTCAGACTGTGTTTTCTTCTTGAATTGCAGGAAATTCCTGGCTATATAACAGATGATATAAATCAACACTGAAGAGTAGATAACTATGAAAATCAAGGAGGCTATAAAGGCGTCACACAATTGTGGAAGTGACTGACGATACGGCCCTCATTGAGCCCAAAAGGAAATTGTAGATCCTGTGTCATCTATGAGGCAATAGCAGAAGCACACGCTCGACCTCTTATCAAATTAAATTTCTAAGTTTAGTCAAACCCTACATTAAACTGAATTCACAATACAGTCGGAAACCTATACACCAGATGGTTTTTACAAACAGTTCGTCGAAATTTTTAGCCATTTCTAGACGCCTGGCGGAATTTATATGACGCGTCTAAGACACCAAAAGTGATCTACATGCAGTTTATGTGATGAGAAGCGCTGGAAGGTCGTATTTATGCAGTTAAAGCTGCGGGAACTGCAAGTTAGATATATAAAGAAAATAGAGTCAGAGATCCATGTAACAAGAAATATCTTCATAATTATGCAAACAGATACAAATTTGCCAGACTATACATAGAACTTGGGACATTTGATTAAAGAAACCATGTTTGTGTATACGTTTTTGATTGATAAAAATTATTGATACAGTGAGCCATTTTTTAAGTCAAATGGACTTTATTCCAATACGTCTCCTAGATTACTATATTTCAACAATGGCATCACCAGTATAATGACAAAACTGCATCTGCTTCAACTAAATTATTTTTTTTCAAAGCGACTCATTTTATCGATGTCAACAATGGGTAGATTTTTTTTACCAAGGGGTCTTGCTATCATAGTATCTCATTGTTGAGCCCTTACTTACAAACTAGCAAAATTCCATTGAGGCTATCCTATGCATGCCCCATTAATCATTTTCTATCCGCTTGTGTCCTTTACGAGCCTGTATCTGTTTGGGCAACATCTGGAACGCTTTGTATATTTTTAACAGTTAATAATCCGCTGCTTATTTTTGAGTAGCTTTCAATTTTAGCAAAACATGTGTATGTATGTATGTATCTTCGCACCACTTTGTAAGTTGTAAATATACCATGTCCAGGTCAGTATACACCCGAAGTGGTTTGCGCCACTATCCTCTCTTATATAGGGTGTTCGGAAAATAAACGGAGATATTTTAGAGGGTGATTACTTGTTGAAAAATATGTTTTTTTTTCTACAAACATGGGTAAATGCAAAGTTTTCAAGATACAGGGTGATAAATTTAAAAAAATATATTATTATCTTAAAAGATATTTACTTGATTCTGTTGAAATTAGTATATTATTTGTTGTATTAAGAGGCTAATTTAGCCGTGAATAGATTGAAATTATTAGGTCTAGTGGCGTCACGGGGGGGGGGGCACCTTAGCCAATATCATTGGCAAAAAAAATCAAAAAAATGTACGCCACTGTCCTTGTTTGTAACTTTAATGTTTGTTGTTTGGTTTAGTATCGGGAAATACAAATTCTTTGCCTCTTGTATTTTTTCGTATTTCACTTCGTTTTCGATAAAAAAAATAAAAACCTTTTTATTGCATGTCACTGGATAAAATTGCTTTATTAATTGCATGGAGGCTCAACATTTGCGCGTCAGTTCTCCTAGAAAAGAGTTATTCACGTAATTTTGCATACATTACAACATGCAACACTTCACATGAAAAACGAATCCGAATATCCGCGTGAGTACGTGCATGAAAGGTTAATTACCCAAGACGCAAACTTCACCAGCTACAAGGGAACCCTAGTTACCGCAAGTGTATTTTGTCCCGCAGGTGCTACAAATCTACCATTTTAAAAATATAGTATTTCGCATCCACATCGCATCGCAACTCTATAGATATTTCTTGGTCCTACAATCAGGTGTGAAGTTGGCAAACAAAATGAAGACTTGAAGTAAATAAGGTGCTAAGTGCCAAAATTATTATTTTGAGATAAACAATATTTTTCGTTCTATCGTACAATCAATGTGTTAAACTCTCTGAAAATTTAAACATAGGTTTATTTAAGTAAGTATTTTTCTGTGTACTTAATATTTTCGGGAACTTTTTGCAAAAAAAAAACAGAAAAAAATTATAACAGTTACAAAATCATAGAATGTGTTAAATGCCATTACAAAAATATAAATATTAGGTATGTGCTAGGTGCCATTACAAAAATATAAATATTGTGATAAATAATAATGAAATAATAATAAAAAAACGTAACAAATTTAGCTTCAGTTGAATATTAGTATTCAATAGATTTTCATAAAATTGTCATTTTGTTCCTTAAATAAGGAATCATTGCCAGCAGATCTTGTTTTTTCTTCAGAAATTCTAAATTGGCAGGTCAGGTTTGGAAGAGTCATTTCTGATATAGTTCCAATAGTAACATTTTTCTTCAACATCTTCGTTGTTTTCGAACGCTCTATTTATTGGCACTTAGCACATTTTTTACCGGCGGCGATATGGCGATTGACAAGCGCTCACTCTGTTGGGATTTTTCCAGTACAATATAATGGCCATGGCGCTTACCACTTTATCTATGTTGTTTTTTGTGTCCTATATTAATAGAAATAGAAAATGCAAAGTAAAATTCCTCGCAACAGATACTTTATTTACATTTTGCATTCGATAAACTACAGTTACAATTCATGTATCATAAAACAAGTTTTACAAAAGCACTTAACCTACCTACGGGTATTATATCTAACGACTCTATCTGTAGTGCATTATATCTCTGAACTTATTGCTATATGTACTAACAGAGGGCTTGATAAAATGAGTCTGTGTTTTATGTATAACCACGCACTTTTTTTCGTGTCTCTAGAACTTCACTGTTGTGTAAATATGTGACTTCCTCAGCTCATAAGCCCACAGGTTACTAGGGACAGGAAACTCCTACAATTTGATATGTAAAAATGCGAAAGGTGAAAAGACGTATGCGGGTGGATCAAATAAAACATTTTACAGAAGACATGCGAAAACAGTGTTTTCAATGCCAGGATATGGATCATATTCAGGGTTTTTCAGAATGACCTGCCAATACTGCCAGGGTAGAAAGTTCGTCCAAAAATATCAAAAAAAGTTTGTATAAATTTGAGTCCAAAGATGCTGCCCTACCGAGATACACGGTAACGAAGTTTTATCTACGAAATAAAAAAAAACGGAGAGGGTAAAGATGGTAAGCTCCTACGCCTCTGAGTGAGGATAAGACACGCATATTATCCATTTAATGTTGTATTGAGGTGCCATAACTTTGTTCACCATCCCATATGGTGTTACCGAAATCAAACTTCACGGTGTTTTCAGAATAGGGGAGACTAAGCTAAGGCATAAGAATATTTTTGGATGTTACCTCAAATATTCAAGCCAAATATCTCCAAAGCAAGTGATTTGACAAAATTTCCTTAAGTGACAAAATTTATGAAAAATTGAATAGTATTTTATAAAATGCACTTCCTTTCTCCGAACAGGCCAGCGGCGTGGAAAATATTTCCTACTAGCGGTTCAGGTACTGCAGTTTCTACGTCCATGGTTTAGTTTGGGCCGAGAATAAAACTTCATCACCCTGTATCTCGGTAAGGGAGCATATGTGGACGTATACTTACAAGAACTTTTTTACTTTCTACCCTAGAAATATTGACACGTCTTTCTGAAACACCCTATATATTGCCATTTTCAGGTTATGTATCCAAACAATGTGAACTGCAAGAGACTAAGATTCGGTATCCCAAAAGCTTTGGACTGTTTGGAGCGTCACAATACAAGGTATAACACAATAAATGCTTACTGGTTGGGCTTCTTATCATTCTTCACATTATGGTATTGTTTGCTGTCCAGTTTCTCCTGAAAAAATTAACGATAAATCAATCACTTAAGCACTTCTGCTGCTCCTCCTACGCTGTTGTACGTACAGGTAAAGCTATTTTAAAACGGGATAGCTGATAATATGAGTAGTGTTAGGAGAATTTTTCTTTTGGACAGCAAGCAGGAGCGAGGAGATGACTGCGGCTGGCTGCTGTGCCAACACTTATACATATATCCCGATCCTTACGTCGAAAATACAGTAAGGCCCCTTTGCCTTCTGTATAAACTGAAAAACAGTTCAGCAGATGTTGTCCGCCATCATAGAATAGACAGCTTGTCATTCAGGGGGATCACCTAGTTTCTCTCTCTCTATCAGCAGCGGCGTACCATGCAAAGATTGCATAAACAGTAAGCAGGTAAAAGACATGAATAAGTCCCCAGTTATATTGAATATCCGACATATGTGTATATTAGCACTCTAATTCCAGTTATTACTTGCTTACAAAATACATTTATCACTATTCAGTAACGTTACCTTACCTCCGCGACTTCACCTATTTTCAAAGCCTTCAAATTATTCTTGGCTTCGCTAGAATGCCCAATGTTAAGAAAATATTTGGTAGCATCTTTTCCTGCATGTTCTTCTATTATATCTCTACCTCCAGGATGCTGTAATTTAAACAAGTGATTGCGAGGGTTGAATTATTTTTTATTTTAAGTCATAAGGACAAATTATTATTATCAAATAACCGTTGTATTAGTGTAGATACGTAAGTTTTAATCTTCCCGTTAAGTATTTACAAAACCAAAAATTAGACATTGCATCCCCCCTCAGTCATTTCGTCGCACCCTCCCCGTCCAGTTTCTTAGTCTTTTTACCACATCCCGTAGGCTCCCAGCCCATAAGCGGAAGTTATAGGCCACTTTGAGGCTTAAGAATTGTGATCTGTCCTCCTCGAGACCTTGCAACCCCCACCACCAACATTTATACCTCAAAAAGAAGCAGTTGTTTCTGAAATATAGTGAAACTATTTATGTCACTTTCGTTTTATACTTCCAACATTTATTACTTCCCACGCCTACTGGCGAGGCAGTAATTTTCGCGCGAAAAATTTCGAAAATAAGATATTATGTTTTTATTTTGAGGTTATAGGTCATATAGATCACGAAAAACGATGTCATTTCTCATTTCCGTCGGTCTATCTGACTGTCTGTCGGTATGTCCGCTAATCCCTATGACTTGAGAAGTACCTATCTGATTTTGATAAAATTTCTACACAATATTATGTAAGGACCCAAAAGTTATGTAGGTTTTGAAAATCGCTCCAGTAGCTCCAGAGAAAAAGGCCCAAAATGGAAAAAGTAGAAATTGCTCAAACTTCGTTTTATTGACGTTTCCTTTAAAACTCAGAAAAATATTCTCGGCAGTGTGTGTGTTCTATTGTTCTGGCATGGTAGCACACGTATTTCTGCCGCATCACAGCATAGTGTTTCATATGCTCTCAACCCGTATCGAAGACAGGCGACGTTTTCCAGATCCACTACCGTAGGCAGGGCAGGAAAATATTGTCCATAGACTAATTGTATAGACGTGTTTGATTGACTTTTTTCTCAGATGATCTAGTTTGTGCTGAACGTATTCCTTAATGAACTGATAACGGTGTTGCGGAGTACAGAGACAACCTACCTGACGCCATTTTTGTTCATACAGCGTCCCTACATGTTTTTCAGTTGACTATTTTTTCTGAATAGGTAATTATATCTCAAGAGAATATATTGAAGTACTTTTTGCTTATCTTGTATGTGCTAGACTACAACAACTGATTATTATTGCATCACTTCATATATGTTGTCTCATGTATACATATGTAACACTTCAGATATGGTAGGAAGTAGGCTCGCCAGATAAGCTCTCAAATCTTCCGTTTTCAAATACAGCTTTATGTACATATTCAGCGTCTTTCAAAAAGCGTTACACCCTACTTATTTTTTGTGTAGGTCAAGTTAGCAAGCTGAAATCCAGGGTGATGAAACTCATGCATGAATAAATACTATAGCTTAACGTAGAAATAACAGTTGAAACCCCAGTTGAAGCTCCTTGTCATCACTTTCGAACAATAGGCCATAAATTTATTATCTTGCAAAATCAGCCGGCTGTAAAATTAAGAGTCTTTGTCCATTGAATCGTTTATGAGTTGAACCTATAGTCAAGACCTTGTAGTATATTACATCAATATTTCACTTTTGGAATGGTCTATCCGCACGTGCAATAAGAGGACATCTGGTTGAAAAAATTACAGATTGGCAATTTCGTTAACCCTTAATAGCTACCCACGGGTCAAAATGACCCATCGATATGAGGTCCCCCCCACTTCGTATCTTTATATTAAACGTGAACAGCTGGCGGTGGTTCAGTATTCGTTCAGCCGCTGTTGAAGTAAATGTGCATCGTAGTTTTAATCTAGTGACGTAGTTCATTCGACTGTAATGGCAGCCACTGGGTCAAAATGACCCGTGGATAGTATAAACGTTATTATTTTGTTCCGAATTACTTGAATATTTTATGAACTATTGGTAGTATTTTTTATATGAAAAGGTAAGTTTTAACCACCATTTTTAGTTTTTTTTTATGAAGTATTTTTTTTTTGATGTTTTCAGGTTATAATGGCTAAAGGACTTACTGATAAAGAGCTGGAACAAATTATTGAGTCTGATGAGTTCTGGGAGGATTTCGACGTGAATAATACTGCATCATCGTCATCTTCCACTTACGAATACAATGAAAATACTATTGAAAAGGAGGATAAACGTGATGCAAGCGAAAAACTTTTTACGTTTGGGGACCAGAGCGATCAAGAAGAGGAAGACGAAGAGGAACTAAGTACCCACGATACGGACAGTGAGCAGGAATGGCAGCCTTCCGACGAACAAAATGAAGACGAAGAACATTCAGCTAGTACCAGTAATGAAGATGTGAATTTAAACAGAAAGGAAGTTCCAAAAGCTTTGTATGGAAAAGATAGAACAAAATGGTCTACTACTGCTCCAGTAAGAGGAAAGACTCTTGCAAAAAACATCATAAAAGTTTTGCCCGGTTTGAAAGGAAATGCAGCACAACACAAACCTCAATCTGCCTTACAAGCCTGGAAGTTGCTTCTGACAGATGAAATATTTGGACAAATTATAACTCATACTAATACAAAAATCAGATCAGTTCAAAGTCATTATGGAAAGTTCAAGAAGAAGAGCAATAGCAGGTCGGAATTTCGGCCTTCATTTATTGGTGAAACTGACAAAACAGAAATTGAGGCATTTGTTGGTCTTCTATACTTCCTTGGGTTATACAAGTCAGGCCATGAAGATTTAAGGTCCCTTTGGGCTACTGATGGAACGGGACGTGACATATTTAGATGCACGATGTCACTTGCTAGGTTCTCCTTTCTCTTATGCTGCCTTCGATTTGACGACGAACTAACACGAAAAGAAATAATGAAAAATACCAAACTAGCCGCTTTAGGAAATCTTTTTGAAGAATTTATCCAAAACTGTAAAGGAAACTACTCACCCGGGGAATACTTGACCGTAGATGAGATGTTGGTACCGTTTCGCGGACGCTGCAGTTTTAAGATGTTTATTCCAAGCAAGCCCGCTAAATACGGTCTTAAAGTACAAGTTCTTGCAGACTCAAAAACTCATTATTTGCTAAATGCAGAAATTTATGCGGGAAAGTCGCTGGAGAAAAGTAAATGCAAATTATCTCAACCAACACAAGTTGTTCTTCGCTTGGTGGAATCGGTAATTGGAAGTAATAGAAATATCACAGGTGACAATTGGTATTCTTCTGTAGAGTTGGTAGATGAGTTAAGTAAAGTAAATGTAACCTACGTGGGCACTCTGAAAAAAAATAAAAGGTGTATTCCTAAAGAATTTTTGCCGTCTAGATTGCGTCAAGAATTTTCAACAGAGTTCGGCTTTACTTCTGGAAAAACTCTCGTTTCATATGTACCGAAGAAAAACAAGTCAGTGATTTTGATTTCCAGTATGCATAATGATTCATCTGTTGATAATGAAACAAAAAAACCGGAAATCATTTTGTTTTACAACGACACAAAAGCTGGAGTAGATGCCCTCGATCAAAAATGTTCCAATTATTCAACTTCCAGGAAAACTCGCCGTTGGCCCATGGCATTATTCCACATGATGCTAAATGTTGCAGGAATCAATTCTAGAGTATTACTTCAATTTTCTAAAAATGGAGAAGAAATAACAAGAAGGAATTTCTTGTTTAATTTAGCTCGTAGTTTATGTCAACGCCATATTATGGTTCGTATGTACAATAATAAGATTCCCCGTAAACTCAGAAGTTTGATGGCGAATATACTGGGAATTTCTCTTGATGTTGAAGCACAGTCTACTGAACGCATTCCTCCTTCCAAAAGAAAGCGGTGTGCTACTTGCCCATCTAAAAAGGACCAAAAAACTAGTACCTTCTGTGACAGCTGTAAAAATCCAGTATGTCGTAATTGTGCCAAAAACATATGCCCAAATTGTTTTTGATTTCCTTTTCAACACTTACATGTTATATTACAATATAAACGTTTGTTTACTTTTGTCAATAAAATTATTTTGATGTTGTTTTTCTTTTAAATTTATTTTTTTTTATCTGGGTCATATTGACCCTTGGGTAGTTCAAAAGTGATTGTTTTGGAAGAGTAGCTATTAAGGGTTAAATGGAATGTTCCATATTTTATTAATTATTGGGATGAACCTTCCCAAGAGAAGAAGATTACCACTTATAGCGTTTTGATGGTTTGATGTTGAATTATAATGTACAAAAATGCTCAACTTGCTTGGCAATCCTCAATTCTAATGAGTAGTGATCATCTAGGTTTAGAACCTGCTTATAAGAAGCTTCAAGATGAGTTATCAAGAGACCCCCCCTTTCTATTTAAAAAAATGATTCAAAGTGGCGCTGAGAAGGTACCTTGAAACTTTCAACTGCCGCGTATGCGCTAAACTATAATATAGATGCATCAGTTTCATAACCCCGAATTTCAGGTTGCTCACTTAACCCGTTCAAAGAATTAGTACCAAAGGACGTTTTGGAAAAACGCGGTATGCAAGTTATGGATTCACTACAACATGGCCTTAAGGTATGTGACTATTTGCAATACAATTTTTATACCTTACACAACCTAAAGATGTAATGATAACACATTCATTAATACAACAACACAGACGAATTTACAATACAAGATTTGTGTACGTGCATACGTTTGCAACATATACAGTTTATTAACGTAAGTTGAAAGTAAGCACAATGAAATATCTCCATATTTAATTTGAAGAATAAGTGAGCATCCTGAATGATAAAGTATAAGTTTATTCCAAACAAGTATTCTTTAGGTCGATAGCTTGATTATAAATTTTAGATCGAGGAGCAGATATTATTCATTTCTTTAACTCCTTTTTGAACTTGTTAATGTCTGTTGGTTTCTTTATTTCAGGTGGTAGAAGGTGATAAGATCTTGGACATAGAAACGTCCAACATCGCACCAATTTGTTCTTACCTGGTTGGGGAATTTTTCATGAAATCATATCTAAGTATTTCAATGGAGGTTGGCTTATTTAACTGACATATTTGACTCCTTGAATGAGCTAAACTTGAAACTTCAGGGCAGAAACAACACTATAATAAGCAATTATGATTATATTCAGGGGGTCATATGAAAGCTTCAACTTTTTAATCAAAAGGTGTCTTCT